TCAGATTGAAAATAAGAGCTGGTTTTGAGGTCCAAATTTTAATACAAATTCCCAATGTAAGATAACTAATTAAGTGCATCTTTTCATATGCACCTAATTCATTTTGACATATGGACCAATGAATATGATTAAGGTTGAACTCCAACCTTGAACCGTCCCACCCCTGAAGCATCGCGAGGAAGGTAAATCGTGGGATGTGCCTCAACAAATCAGGAAACAAGAGCTTACCGTACACTAGTGCCCACAAAGAGTCCAATTCCATATCTCAAGAATTAAACCCTCACACTGCGACTATCAGTAAAGTTGAGACCACATCACTCCTTTCCTTTGCACCATTGAATTATGCCCTAGGGGGCAACACCAATGAATATGACTAGACTAGTCCTGAAGTGGTTGAATAGATTTGGGGCATAATGAGATATTTTTGAGGATGTTCTTTACTAGTCCCAATAGGATCTAGCGTAGTAATCTAAACTTTCTTTATATAGGTGGCTCAACGGCCACACGACTCATTTATGAAATATGAATGGAATGTATAGTAGGATGGTGAGAAAGATACAGGCTTTCATGAGAGATGTTGTTGGACTTTGGGCTTTGTTTGGCCAAACAGTTTTGCCCATAATGATCAACATTCTATAGAAGAATGTTAATTATATTTTAGCATGTAATGTGGATGGACTTTTAAAGAGAGAATCCCAATTTAAATAGGATTTGTTGGATGGCATGAAACCTCTTTCACCTCAAAAGTTAGCTCACGAGGTGAAGCTTTCCTTTACACTTATAAAACAAATACCAATCCATTCACAATCGATGTGGGACAGTCTCAATAATCTCCCCCTCACACATCGGGCTTTGTGGGAGATCAAACACGTCTTTCCCCACACATCAGGCCCTGCGGGAGACCAACCTTGTCTTCCTCTCACACAACAGGGCTTGCGGAAAACCAAACTTGTCTGCCCCTCACATAAACTCATAGCTCCGTGACTGTTGGGTCGAAGACTTTTTGATAAATCAGATTCTGATACCGGTATTGGGTGATATTGAGCATCTTTCACCTCAAAAATTAGCTCAAAGGGTGAGACTTTCCCTCACACTTATAAACTAAATACCAACTCATTCACAACTGATGTGGGACAACCTCAACCAGGGGCAGAGTCATGAAAGGTCTAGTGCGGGCATATGCATATGCCCGCACTGAACTTTGGCAAATTTTCTTTAAAACCTCCATCGCCCACAATCTACTTGGATTCTTTGCAACAAATTAAATTGTGCAGATGAATTATTGTAATACATAACTACAAAAACTGGTGTTCCATGCTTGTACAATAAAATGACAGGTGAATAAGAGATCGAGTGATTTACGAGAAGAAAAGAGTGGCAGCAGCAGAAGTGTGAAACTGAAGAACATCTCAGTGGTCATTCTTGTGAGTCCCGACTACTATGTTAGTTTGTTTATATTTAGAAGAGAGGAATAAATGTATCTATACATGTATATATACTTGCATGCATGGAGAGATTAAAAGTTTGGTGGACAGTTGACACGTTTGACTGTTTGAGAACTTAGAAGTGTGACACTTGTTAGGAGAAAGGGATGAACACTTGGCTAAGTGCTAACCCTCATGCATGCACCACTACATGTAATACAGTTCACCGACAGAAATATTGCTTATATGTATAATAATCTTTTTTTGAATTAGGTTAGTACTGAGTCTGAATGTCATAATGTGGCTAGAGCTTGTAGACATTAAATTTGACATATGATGGCAATGGATAATTATAAGTGTGATAATTTAGACCATATTTGGTTTGGATCAAAATCAAATTTTTATAAATTTTGATAAAATTGATAAATATATGATTGAAAATTCTCAAAATTCTTATGTTTTCTTATGCACCAAGATTTCTCAAGATCGCATGAAGCTCTTTTTATTCATAGACTAATTTTGACCAAAAAAAATACTGTAGCAAGTGTTTAAAATTGCGCCCACACTGGATAAAATCTCTGGCTCCACCCCTGACCTCAACGACATTAAATTAATCTCTTAGGGGGTCATAATATAATTGACTTGTGCCTTTCTATCGGCCTGTAAATAGGACTAGTCCATATTTGAGTACGAAAGAACAAGAATTCCATAAAATTTCCTCCGTCTCGGCTATACAATTTTGTATTAGGATTCTTCAGCCGTGGAGATTTGTGGTTGTTCTTGTAACATCCACGCACCATGAGTATTGAATATCATGGAACTATTGCAAGATTTTTGGTTTAAAGATCATGGACTGTTGCACACGCTTCAGGTAGTTGTACTTAATAGTTTCCTACCATACTCAATATTTATCTGATAACATATAATACACGTAATACATAATCCAAAGAAACGAATTAGTCTAAAATCCTAAAGGGAAAATTTCAAATTTAATCCTTTACTTCTGGTGTCTGTGCATTTTTTTATCCAATCAGAAATTTCACACTTTTCAGTCCCCAACATTTATCATCATTGGCATAATTAGTCCTTTTTATCACTTTCGATTACACTTGGCATTAACATTTCATGTGGAACAAAGTAGATCAATTTTATGAGAGGCAAAATTGTCCCATCATCAATGTTAAAATTGCACATTTTGACTCGTATCAAAGGAGAGTTTTGAGTCTATTTCATTTTTATTCGATTGGTATAAAACTCTGTTCAAATTCGTGGATACAAAAATGAAAAAAAGATCGAATAATCATTCTATGACGAAAATAGATAGGATAACCGTCTCCAACCTTTTGTGCCTTCGTATTTTTTGTTCCCCACACAAGTGCTTGTGCTTTTTGTCCTCAACGGCCGGCCTTGAGGCCAAGCCACCTAGGCAACCGTCTAGGGCCTCAAAAAATGTAGCTTGGACTCAGGGCGTCAAAATTCATAGTAATACCATTATACCAGCACAACAGTCCATGTGTGAATCCATTATACTAGCAATTCAGCAAAGTCTCAAAATATTGTTACTCGTGTAAAAAAAATATAGGGTCTCAAAATAATTTTTCGTTTAGGTCCTCCAAATTCTTAGGGCCGGCCTTGCCTCAACCCTTCAACATCATAATTTTCAGCTCCCAACTTTTAATCTCGTTGGTGTAATTAGTTTATTTTATTTTATTTTTCCGTTTTACGTCAAACTCGATATTATTAACATGACATAGAATGCAATTAGTAAAAGTTTCTGACAATGGTACAAGGACTAATAATACTAAGGGGTTAATTTGGAACCGGAAAATGCGATTTAAAAGGTTTTGGATGAAAATCGCAAAGTCTCAAAGGTCGAGAACCAAATGTGCAAAAATAGATTGTTGAATAATATCTTGCTGCTTCTATAAAACAATTAGCCAAGCTAAAAGAGTTGTTGTCTTTTTCAGTTTGTCCAGCAGTACAAGTATTCTTTTCTTTATTAATTTCATTGTCCATTGTTTTAAAAAATGAAATATTTTATCACTAAGGTCGCTTTTAATTATGTCTAAAGATTGATTAACTTCCAACAATTGTTCATCAGCATGAGTTATTTCAGTAATTAACTACTAGCAAAGCCAATATTTATTTATTAGATTCAGTACTCTCCTTGGCCATCACAAGTACCATCGATCGAAAATCCAATCATTACAAGAACGTAATCTCTACGAAAATTTAACAAGCAATTAGCTACTGCAACCTTGAAAAGGATGCTCAACATATCGAAACTGTTCAAGATATTTTAAAGAAGGCAAAAATTTTTAAGGAACTTTTATGAACTATCAGCGACGGAAGAATCCATGAATTTTCCGTACTATGAAATCTGTGATACTCTACACTATTTGAATATGTCGAATATTTAAGATGTATTTAGCCCATATTTAGTACTGATTAAAGTCTAAATTTTAATCTAAATCAAAACCAACAAACCATTCAACCAAAATCACGTTGAGCTAAAATTCATAAAATTTATGCAATGAAATTACATACTCTTGTCTCCATATACAGTTGCTTGACTTGCTTTCACTTGGAGAAATAACATTTTTACACTCATAAAAGGCTATACATTCAGTATAAATACAAAAAAAAAATTAAATAAATACTAGAAATATTTTATAATATGAGACTTTTTTATCATATTAAATCCCTATTTTGGAAATCTCAAATAATTTTTTGTTTTTTTAATCGATCATCAATATGATCTTTTCAATGAAAGGGACAAAAACAATTTGCACCAGTATGAGAGTTGAAGAAAAAGAAAATTTTCACTTTAAATTTCAGGTGCCCTTGCCATGCTATCATCTTCTGATATATCCAAATTCTGAGATCATCAGCGCCTTCTTGAACTCGATCACATTGCACTCCAATTTAAGGGAGAAGAAACTAAATTATATGTCAATCACAGTGCACGTTTCTTGATGGATTGATGGCGAAAATTATTCATCACAAAAACCCTCTTCAAGACCTTCAAGAAAACTACAATGCTTGGCTTTTTCTTGGCTTTCGACAACTTTAAGGTTTTAACACAACTTGTTTCTACCTCTCTTGCATGTGACGACATATCAGAAGTTCGTGATGAAAATTCTTCATTCAAATCTTCCCACAATATGTCCATTTTTTCCCCTTCGTCATTGGTGCTATCGTCAGTCGTAAAGTTGGTTCTTGGATTGTGGCTCGTATTTTTTGATGTAGGGATTCTGCGTTTTCCATCACGAATATTTTCTCCGTCTTCACCAATGTTTTTGGGTTTTTTACTGCACGAGGCTTCTGAATTTGTGTGCGGCCACAAAGGTGGTGAGTCGACGGATTGTGGTGGCGAAAAGGTGGTCGGAAAGCTGAAGTCTTCTTCTCCAGAAGCCATGGATTTAAGGGTGTAGCCTTTGTAGTTAAGATTTGAGAAGTATTATAGGGGGGTTGGTGTTGTGGAAGGTTTGGTTGTTGATTTGGAAAGTTTAGTTCAACAGCTGCAATTAACTTATATATATATTTGGAAGTGCATGTTTGGCTAAGATTACTAAAAAAGAGTAAAAGTTAATAAAGTAATCCTTTGTTTCCTAAAATGTTTAAAATTTATTAAATTAAAAAAAAAATCTTATTTTGGAACTACCTCTTACCTTATTGACATAATAAATTAATGATTAACTATTTTTAACTTTAATCAATAAAAACTATTTATTTACTTAAAAGTAGTCTAATATCATGGGCATATAATTCGATGAAAGCATGTTCGCTACGTATATAAATAGGCTATACTATACAATAAACAAGACTTAAAGTTTTCTTTTCTTTCACTATTAACGTCCATTACATCTAATTACCAAGGAAATCGAAAACCATCTTTGGTGTATGACTCGATAGTATACTAGATAAACATCGCATAAATACAATTGTCTTTAGATTTTAGATTTTTTTCAACATCTTTAATTTAATGTACCAAACATGACCTAACAAATATACTTGAATAAAACTAATATTTTGGCAAAACTCCATGAATCAAATCACTCTTACACATGATCTGGGATGGTATTAAATTAAATCAAATTGATTATATATAGGAAGGTCCATTTAATTGATTAGTTGAATTAATTTTTTTCCTCGGGAAATAATATTTTCAACTAGAGTATCCATAAATAATTTAATTTTCCTTATTATAATTTTCCCCTACTTTTGTTCATTATCAGTTGAGTCTAGTTTCATGAATGACAAACTTTTTCCTGGCTAGTCGTGCATAAATCATAATTTAATAGAAAGATTCTAGGAAAAAAAATTATTTTTATGTCATGACCAAAATTCTTTAACTTTTATGTTTGGCCAGAAAAATGGACATTATGGACTTACCCTAAATAATTTAAACTTCAAAAGTTATCGCCTTTCTCATTTTATTTTCTATAATATTTTGAAGAACTTTTGGCAAAAAAAAGAAAAAGGCTAAAAAACTTTTGGACGGTCATACCGTCGTGGTGCGATCAAAGAATGGGGATCTCGCCTCACTTCACTGGGTGAGAATGGGCCACCCGATGAGGTGATAGCTTCCCATTCGATAACGCATCTCGTAGGACGGTACGATCGCTGCATCGAAGTTATTCTCCTAAAGGAGAGACTGAAAAAGGAACCCAGGGATTTAGGGAGTAGTCAAGTGGTCTTTCTTCCATTGAAGTTTGATAATATACAATACCAATTGTGGATTTGAATTTATGTCGTTCATGTTATCTGCAAATAGATCATCTTTGTATTGAGCATTTCTAGCACTTTGTACTTGGCAGACACTACAACCCTACCTCCTATGATGTAGAGCGAAAACATGAATAATAATAAAAAAGATCTTATTCATAACACACGAAGGAGTATTGCTTGAATTTTGTTCAAATGATATGAGAAATATTGAAATCCTCCAAATACCAAAAAATCGAAGTATTAGTACTAAAAAAACAACTATAGGATTTTCAAACCCTCAACACATAGTTAAAGTGTCAAAATAAATCATATTCAAAGCAAAACCCTAATTCAGAAGACAAATTCGAATAGAACTCAAAAATTGCATAAATGATGAAAATATCCTTAAACTGACTCAAAATAGAAAATTGCTGAAACGGACATCTAAACGATGAAATTGGATTTCGAAAGTGCAACCATTGTGATCTCCCCAACAAACTGTAGAAAAATAAAACTGTAGGGAATTGAAAAATACTTTCAGATTATACTTGCTCCTGTAAATCTGACACTCGAACTGAAAAATTACTTGTAGTTTCATAAATCCTTCTTATTTCTCCTTTTTTCAATTGGTTTATATTTTCTCTTCTAACTGTTCCGCATCATCCTATCTTATCAAGAATGAACCCAGTAAATTTTTGTCGTACGAGCGATATCAGTATAACAACATTATACTGAAAATGAAATATCTTACAATTGTTCTTTACGAGTTTTTATATTTTGATATCTTTGTAAATTCACTTCATTGTTAATCTTTAATTAATAATTTTTAATTAATACGTACAATGCATTATTTTTCAATTTCTATTTACGTTGTAGTGTATAATACCGAAATTGTCTAATAATTAATTCTTTTAGTGATTAAAATTGTAAAAAAGCAAGTTATTAAAAAAAAAATCCTTTTTCATTTGCAAAAAAGAAAAAAAAAAAAAGTAACATCTCTCTCTCTCTCTCTCTCTCTCATGTGATGGCCCTTCACACTTAAAATAAGCAAGAAAATAATAAAGTAAATCAAAAATAATTACTTTATATCAAGAGCAAGATAAATTTATTCTTTGAATAACTCGAATCTTTTTAACCTTAAAACAAAACATCAAATCAAACTACAATAATAAAACATCAAAAGCACTTTATCGCACTATAAACAAAGATAGCTAACGACCTTTGAAACAGTTTGAATTC